TTTGTACTCACGTACGCGTCACTTTTGGCACGGGGCCAACTTCTGCCTTTCTGTTTCACCGCAGATGAAATACGCGCGATACGTCGTCGGATGGCATTGGACACAGTGGCTCGTGAGTAGTGTGTGCGTGATATTATGTAGTATGATTGCGAAGGGAGCGGACGTGGTTGGCACGAGGTGGCGCTTGACAAAAAACAATGTATATAAGGTGTTAATTATTCCTCGGTGCACTGTGTCACTTGCCCCTTGCATGGTACCTTACACCTTACACCTTACCCCATACACCTTACACCTTACACCTTACCCCTTACAGCTTACCCCTTACACCTTACCCCTTATACCTTACCCCTTATACCTTACCCCTTACCCCTCACACCAAAACGCCCATTTGTAATGGTTTTTGCACTTCAATCATCTCAAAAATGACAATTTCAATTTCGTTCAAAAAATATAAAATATCCGTTTTGACGAAATCGCTGTTTGGACGAAACAATCGTTAGGGAGTACCCTCATGTCATCTCCTTTTCGCAGGGACTACGTCTGGAAGACTGCATGAATCACTTTGAACGCAAAGGATTCCCTGGATGTGTTGGTGCTATTGATTGCACCAATTTGTACATCAAAAAGTCGAGGGAGCGTCCGGAGTGCTACGCCGATCGCACAAGGCAGTTCTCCATTGTTGCGCAAGTTGTGTGCGGCCATGAGTGCAGGATATACGACGTTTTCGTCAGGAGCCCGGGATCTGTCCATGACTCTCGACTGCTGCGGATGTCCTGTTCATGACTCTCGCATGTAGCAAGTACAGCGCCATTGGACTGTCATTCCACAACAAAGTAGGCTCCCGCCGGACACTCCCGCGCCGCTCTGGATTTCCCAAGCAAATGACTCAGACTGACTGCAACTCACGCATCATCATCAAGCAGGATGAGAAGGCATGGTGCTGAACACATGGACGAAGAGCGCCATGCCAGGACATCATTGACATATGAGGAGGAGGGAGAAGAGAAGGAGGAGGAGATGTGGAGATGTCGTCAACTCAAATATTCGCTCATGAAGTCTCCAAAAATAGTCCCCCAAATGTCTTCGTCCAGATACAGGTCCGAATCTAGTGTCACCAAGTCTCAACTCTCGAAATCTCTCTCTCATAGAAGCAAGAAGAAGAACAAGACGACGAATCAGAGGGAGGGAGGAGGAAGAGAATCGATGGAGCTGGAGGGAGACGAAGAAGGAGAATGATCCGAGAATCCTCTCAAAGTCTGTTGAAGGTGGGGCCAGGTAGACTAGCGTAAAAGTGTCTTCTTGGAGCTGTGATGCAGGTGGAAGATGCCCAAAGACGAACAGGAGCTATGGTGCCAGGTAAGTCTGCAGGCGAGTCCCTCATAACCTGGCCTCCGCCCTCAACCTCCTACTCTACTGCTCTGCCTATCTCCTCTACCGAAACAGTGCTGCCCCGCAGCATGACGACCTAAACCTCTAACTCTGCTCAATGCTACCTGCCGACTACTAGATGGACCAGCTATGAATAGCGCTGGTCCGGCCGAAAAGAGCCTGGCCTCTTGGACCAACTGGCACCCAAACTAGACTGGTGCCTAAGCCTGGACTGGGTCTCGCGCGTAAACGGAACCGCGCCAGGGCGTACATAACAGACCCAGACCCTGACTGAAACAAAAGTGGTCCTACAGCAGACCCGGTAACATCCCAAAACTAGGCCCTACTTACAGACCTAAATCTGAAACGACGTGGGAACTGGACCTGGACCCTACCCCCTACAACCCGTGAGTCCCCTACGCGTACCGTTGGGCCCTGTAGGGGCCCGTGTGGGAACCGTGCATGCCACAGAGCCTCACTCCCTCACTCGAAGACTGGACGTACGAAGCAACTAGAATAGAGCTGCATTGAACTGTCTCACGGCGTTCTAAGTGTTATGTTGGCCAACACCGTCTTCACCCGAATAGAACGCCTGGTCATTATCACTATATTTGGCACAACTTTCGGTCCGATGCAGCGATAAATTGCGCCAATAATGACCGAGCGTTCTATTCGGGTGAATACGGTAGCCCGCTCAAGCCTGTTTAGAGTCCTTTAGACAGTTGACAGTCCGCCAGAATAACCATCTTCAATTCTTAATCCATCTGAGTACACACTGTCCAAGAAGCAATGATGACCAGGCTAATTCCAAGCTTGACTTTGGGGCAAAAAACCCTCCTTATTATCTGTTAATTTGTGGCCAGGTGAATGCTTGGGGGCAAGCCATCCTTAAACCACGCCATATGCTTGGAATTCAGTTTCTCTTCTGTAGATAATTTACAGACCATCCACCTGTGGGGTCCATTTTCCATTTGCATTTGGTCCATCCGTTTTCAACTACACCAATCTTCCCCAAGTGCTGAGTGGATTCTATAAATTTGTCCTCATCTCCTGGCTCTTTTTTTTTTTTTTTTAGAGAGGGAAGATTGCTTTCGAAAAGAAACCGGTCGTTGATTTCTTTTTTCATTTTGTGCCAGTTCATATATTCCATCCCCAAGAGCTGCACTGAACCCCTCCAAGGCTTTGAACCACCACTACTTGGGCCATGCATCTGCCACGGGCCTTCCCCATTAACGCGCCGCAGCCTTAGGGGGTCGGCCAAGGGAAGGTCCAGTCATTGCTGAATGACCGAGGCCCGGTTCACTCGGCATGACACCATAGAAAAAGAACAAAGAAAGAAGAAAAACAAAAGATTCAAATACACAAAAATAGAAAAACAAAGAAAACCAAAGGTATAAAGTATAAATAATAGTATAAAGTATAAATTGAAATAGTAATATAAATAAATTAAATATAATCAAATAGAAAAAGAGAAAAATATTCATGAAAAGAAAAATAAAGAAAATAATAGGAAAATAATATGAATATTCATATTATTCTCATATAAAACAAAGAAAGAATCAATATAAATATATAAATAATAAACTATTTATATATACTATCATATTAGTAGTATTATATTCAATATAGATTGACAATATTTTATTTGTAATGTAATCTGAAAACTTTCTAAAGAATTGCGTTTTGTTTTGATAGACATAAATGGAATCAGATTCTCTCTC